GCATTGCTGTCTGCCATGGCACTCAGCAAAGAGGGAAAAAAATGTCTTCAGGTGTTCTTGAAGCAGTATACGACAGAGTTCGGTTGTGTTATCGCCTCGCGGAAAGGTGAGCACCATGCGTTCTGCACTATCTGTAAGTGCGACATCAGTATATCCCACGGCGGCAGGACTGACGTGGTTGCGCACGTTTCGTCAAAGAAGCACACCAACAACGTTCAGTGCCAGGAGAAACAGCATCTAATGCAACAATTTTTTGGTAAGCAAGACGGCGTCAATGATGTGATACGTGCGGATTGTTTGTTTACTCCTTCTCTGCTTGGCACAGCATTCCGTTGAGTGTCTCCAACCACGTGGGACCCTTGGTGCGGAAGATGTTTCCAAAATGCGGTGTTGCGAAGCGCTACGGCTGTGCTAGAACTAAGACTACAATGATTGTCAGCGAAATGGCAGGCCATGCAGAAGAGTGTGTGGTGAGTGCCTTGAAAAGACGAGTTTTTGCGGTTGCCACTGACGGCTCGAACGACAGCCAGTCACAGCTGTACCCATCGTGGCCACCTTCTTTGCGAAAGAATCGGGCCTTATCGAGAGCAAACTGCTTACTTTAAGCACCCTGGAAGGTCCTTCAATGGGGTGCAACATCGCCAAGTTAATTATGGACAGTTTTGCGTCATTAAATGTGCCATTGTCTAATTGCATAGCTTTTTGCTGTGACAATGCCAACGAGATGATGGGCAATAAGAATGGCATAGCGGCAGCGCTAACCAAGGCCCATGAAAGCATTGTGAAAATTGAATGCCCATGCCATTTAATAAACCTTGTGGCTGAAAAGGCAGCTTGTTGTCTCCCAGCGAAGGTGGACGAAGTCCTTGTGGACATTTTTTATTATTTAGAAAGAAGTGCTAAAAGAAAAAGTTCGCTTAAAGAGTTTCACGAACTGCACAATATGGAATTTCGCAAGATTCTAAAGCACGTTCCAACCAGATGGCTTTCGCTGGGAAGATGCCTGGAAAGGCTCCTATATCAGTGGGCACCGCTCGTGAGTTTTTTCCTTCAAGAAGTGAAAAGAAATGCCACTACCGGGTCCCAAATTCTGACCTACTACGACATTCCCAAAATGCCAGCACAAACTGAAGTTACTGAGCAGCACCAGTTCAGACAGAACAGAAAGAAGTCTGTTGATTCAACACCTGTGCCTGTGAAAAACGTTAAGGCTACTGATGTGTGCAAGACTGGATCAACTTGCATAACACGTGAGGAACGACTGTTCGTGTTCTTGAGCTCGGAGCTTAGCAAAGCTTGCTGTCTGTTTTTAAATAACATTATTCCTGCTTTTGAGACAGTCAACTGCCGCCTGCAAGCACAGACACCCCTAATACACAAGCTACAGCCTATACTTCTAAACCTTCTTGAGGACATCCTTTCAAGGTTTGTGAGGCCAGCACTGCTAAAGCAGCACAATGACATCTGTTTGATAGACTACCACAGCAGAAATGTGCAAAAGGATGACCAAGACTTGGTAATTGAACACCAAGCTAAATGTGTTGTTGAAAAGCTCAAGCCAAGTGACAAAAAGGAATTTTTTGAGGCTGTTAGAAGGTACATGGTTGCTGCATGCGACTACATGCGCCTCAAATTTCCTTTTAGAAATGAGGCTTTGATCAATGCACGTGTTGTGGATATCGAAGCTATGGATAACATGTCATTTAAGAATGCCCCTTTTCTTTGTTGAGCGGTTTCCAGCGTTATTGCCACAAAACGAGCAAGAGACCAGAGATCAAGCTATTAATGCACTGGAAATGGAATTTGTGAAGATGCAGTCTTTCGAAATTTCTACAAATATACTGGAAGAGGAACGGGCCGATGTGCAGTGAAGAAAAATCTCGCTGCTGAAAGGCGAAGATGGACTTATGAAATTCAGTCGCATTGCTCAAATGATACTGGGAATCCTTTCAGTACCGCACACCAATGCTGAATGCGAGCGGCAGTTCAGCATTGTGAGGAAGACTCGAACAGAGTTTTCCGGGCTTCCATGTCAGACAAGACACTTGGGCAACTACTTCAGGCCAAGTGTCATAGCCGCGGACCGTGTTATTCACAAGTATATTCTGAGGAGTTTTTGAAGAGGGCCAAATCTGCCACAACAAAAATTGGGCAGTAATGTAAGTGCGAGTGACACAGCTTGGACTGTTTTTTGAGTGACAGCTTGGACTAGCATGGCGCTAAGGTTGAACTCCACATGCAGTTTCTCCATGCAAAAAAAAAACATTCTTTTGGCAAAGTGTTGGAGTCGCAGCGGTGAACATTGTTATGCCCGACAGTGCTCGAAAAACTTCTCGAAAAAGGTGACTTCAGCCACGTCGAAGATTTGGTGGTGGTGACCAGAGCGGGGTAGGTTGTTGGCGGTTTACAAAAACTATACCATTATTCTGCCATGATAACTCCATAACAATTCAATCTTGAGAAAAAGCGTGTTAAAAATTCCATTCCCCGTGACCCCCCCCCCCCCCCTGGTTGCATCTCCCTAATGCCTGCGCTGCCAACCTGGCAGGTATGACATGCGGTGAACGAAACTTTCCAGGAAGCTTAGATACTTAACATGGTTTGGGAATGAGGAATAGGTTGTAAACTTCAAGCGGTGTGAGGCCTCTGTACAAGTAAGCACCCCTGCCAACTGCTGACTTCCATCGCAATCACCTGGAAAGGGAAGCCTATCTTTTTTCTGCATCTTCACAGTGAAGAATGCCGAGAGGCAAAGCTCCTTAGAGCCTTTTAGTAAGTCGGAAAGCTTCACCAGGCCTGCCTCCTCTCATTTGTTCACAGCATGCTTATTGCTTTGGTTGGGTGAAAGCTTTTTGCTTCATGAAAATTATGTCGAAAGGCTACGTCTGAAGTGATATTCTTGGAGGGACATGAGAACAAAGCTTCCTTTTTTATTGGCTTGCAGAAGCTTGACATCATCCCTGCAAAGTGACTCGACAACACGTGATAGGGGCAGGCATCTGATGCCAAGCAGCCTAGCCGGGAGGGCTGCCACACATTCAGAAACAAGCTGACCATCCTCCGCTGGGACTGCTCGGCTTGCTGTGCTTCTGATGAGGGCGAGAAGCTGTCTTATCTAGTTTGGGGGCAACAGAATACTTCGGGCCCTATCCCAGCTTTTGTGCAACTTTTTGAGGGATGTCGACAGTGCCGATCTTTCCGAACATCCTTCACTTAGTGCAAAGTCCCGTTCTTCGGAAACCTGCACATAACATTCTGCCACAAGACCTCACTCGCTCGAGATTCTGTCTGCATTTACTGGTGATAACAGTGGTGCACTCGTTCAGGAAAACACCTTTGATAGCAGGCCAGGAATAAAGCTGTCTTTGAGCACTCCAGGTCTCGGATCTCATGATGTGGCACAACCGCAGGGTGTGACCATGAGATAGCTGGAAAAATTCTACCAACTGGGCAACGGGGGGGGGGGTGCAAGAACGAGTGCCCGATGGGAAACGAGAGCAGCCAAGCATTGCATGTAGCATGAACCAGAAGGGATGTACGCATTAAGGGGTTGAAGAGAATTCACTGTGGAAAAATTGTTCTTTAAAAGAGTATAAACATCTAGCTTGGCTTGGCTTTATAACAGGGAACAGCGCAGACACACAGGATTTGGCACTGGCTAACAACATGAGTATTATTTCGTAGGTGCACAAATACGCACGCTTCTTGGGAAACTAAAGTTACAAAGGGAAAAGGGGCGGGGGGCTTTTACAAGCGTCGGAGCTTTTACAAACTAGCTAAAGGCATCAAACCTATAATGTTGGGACTGTTGCTGTGAATTGTATGAAAGGCATTGGATTGAGGGTCCCTCTTCTTGTTAAACAAACTGTGTGCAACTAACAAGGGCAAATAGTGCGTAGACACTACCTTCTCCTGCAACTGTCCTTATCCTCCGCCTGTCATGGTTACCGAGTGGCCTGGCATTTTGTTCCCGAGGGCAATAACAGATACTTGCTAATACAAACAGTATCCAAGAAACCTCGGGCATATACATTAGGCCATAATATGTGTACGCACTATTTTAAGGCATATATTGTCTCGTAGCAATGTGCTTACGTGCATAGCAGGAACATCATCTTGAAGTATGATGGACAGCAGATAGCTGAGAAGTAAAGCTAATAAACTTTTATTGTATAGCTTGGAACTGAAGGGCAGCTTCTTTCTCTGCATACATCATGATTCCACTATTCTCAGAATGAAATAAATATGACATATTTGCTGACGATGATGACTGCACATCTGGCCCTGTGTAAGACAAAGTGGGACCAAGAGATGAAAGTGCACATTCCTCACTTAGCTGTGGTAATATCACGCCCACCCATACACATGAAATTGAGTGAATAAGGCTGTTGTTGGTAGTACATGTCAAATCTCTTCAGTGTTAGTTACTCTTGATTTGCATCACTGGTGAATACCTCTGCTGGTTGGGCAGTTGATGTCTGTGTCCGCATTTTATTCTAGAATTTTTAGGTGATAAAATGCTAATGCTGGTTATCTCATCCCTGTGAAACTATGTGGCTCCCAAATAAAGCAGAAATTCAAAAAAAGATAAGTGCTTGATATAAGGAAAAAAATGAGTGTTGAGCCAGTGTTGGCTCTAGTGACATGCGCAGTATTCAAAAATTTTTCATGTTCACCCTGGAATCAGCCATGAATCTCAAATGTATGCTCGTTTAAGTACTTTAAAAAAATATACTTTCTTAGTGTGCAGGGAAAGATTCATAAAGACAGATAAGCAGACAAATGTTCCCTGCACACTGAAAAGTATATTTCTTTCAAAAATGCAATACCGACCAGCCCAAGTAGCCGCTCTTTTGATGGTTTAAGCAGCTGCAGCACCTCAATAACCAGAGGTTAATCCGGATCTCTGTGGCATATTTTATGTCTCTTGTTTGCCCGGGGAATATAATCTTTGTTCATCGGTCGTTCAGTAATAAATCAGCATTTAACTTTTGTTTCAGTGTGGTGCCACCCACTCGCAAGACAGAGGACACAATTCAGTACGCGTCGTCACTCGAGACAACCATGGCCAACTCGTCCCACAAGACGGAAGAAGACACGGATCGGGACCTTTCTTCAATAGAGACGACCATGGCCAACTCGATGGCCAAATGCATGGAGCATTTAAAGATGCTTCAAGATGAGCGCAAGGAAAGCGGTGAACAAAAGGACACGATTTACCACTTTTGCATGTTCGTCGCCAGCTGCATTAGAGAAATGAACAGAAGGGATCAGCTGGAAGCCATGCAAGAAGTCTACACTGTGATCCACAAATATCAGAAGAGGCAGCTAGAGAATACGTGATCTGTGTGCGGGAATGACCATGTGTGCTTCAATGTTGCATTTCATCTTCATTCATTCCTGTGTTGCAAAGCACACTTTCATTCAGAGAAGCCCTTCTCTGAAAATGTAACAATTTATCATATTCCTCATGTCATTCATTGTATGCTTTTTCATTGTTCCAGGCAATGCAGGGCCTACCTTCTGCATGTATTCACTCATTGTGGCTGTTTGTTGATGAGAAATGAGTTGAAATGTGTGAAAGTGATTGCTACAATATAGGCTCTAACGCTGTTTACAAACACAGGTGCTGGATGGCTTCAGGTTCAGTGTGCCGGCGTTGTCTAGCAGTATTGGTGAGGAACAGAAGCCTTAACGAGTAGCCAGTTCATTATCAAGAATTTTCTTCCTGTGTCTGGTCAAATATTTCAAATACCTTCTTTTAAGCTAAATACAACGTTATGAGAGTTGGTGTTTAATTTTCAGCACCTCCCTTTTACGTGAAAGCAGAAAAAGTCTTTCTTTACTCTAGCACAATTTAAATCACAAGATTTCTGCTTCGGCGTTAGTAATAAATAAAGTGACCACAAGTTTCTTGTGTGGCAATACGTGCTGATGCTATTACTACGTTGCAACTGGGAAAAAGTGAATACTTTCCATTTAAGTGAATGTATATTGCTATAGTTTTGTTCTCAATAAAGTATGCAATGGTAGCTGCCCAGATTGAGTAGTTTATTTGGCAGCTTACTTTTAGACAGCACCAAACACTCATCTTGCTCGGTTGCTGCATGTTACACTTCGACTGCACCCAACTATAACAAAATATGTTATGTATGTTGAGGCACATATCTAAAATTTGGTAGTTAATAGTGTATTTTAGTGTGCAAATCACAAAACATGAAACCTTTAATTTAGCCAATGGTTTTGCTGGTACACACCTTATTAGTCAGTGTGTTATTATTTGATTGCACTGACTGCACTCTTAGTAATAATTGTACGGTTGTAGTATTTCTATGTCGTGTATTGGTGCAGCGATCTGCCGTCAAGCTGTTAAAGTTGAGGGAGAACTGCGGCAGCCTTGAGAAATGTGTGTGGCAAGGAGGTCTGGTCATGCAGCATATCTCTTGTATTGTTGTTGGATTGTTGTATTGTGCTAAAAATGACAAATTCTGTGAGGATTGCGGGACCTGCCTGAAATAATTATAACAGCCAAGTAGTTGTCAACGAATCATGTTTGCAGCTCAGTGTACCCGACTGTCCTCATTAAGGCACAGCAGCTTGTTATTTATTCATTTACTTTGTTCCGGTGTACATCAGTGCCATGCACAACGGTATCGACGGCAAACGGGAGTACAAGGTTTCGTCATCGTGCACAGTCTTCAGATGGTGTAAACAGGGTGGTCGAATTACAGAGTCAGAGGAAACACACCAGGGTGGCAGGGAATGGAGAAATGATGGCATCAGCAGCGACAACCAATTTAGGCACCGGGCTGGGGGCGTCGGCGATTGTGGTAATGAAAGGGGACAAAGTGAGTCGAGGTGCAGCGCAGTCAACGACAGCATCATTCGTAGAGAGGAAGTTCGAACTGGGGATCACGTCATGGGGCGCAGGCGGTAGGACAACGATTTACACAAGGTAGAATGCGTTATTGATAAAAAGACGTGCCGTGCACGCTGCCGAAGGTTTAATGTGCTGTGAGCTTGCCGTCTGTAACAAAAGATGAGAAACAGGTATCATCACTTTCTGCAGTTTGTGGCACAAAAGTTCACCTAAAGTAGATAGGGCAGCTCCTGTGGCGACAAGAGTGTTTGTTGCGACACCATCAATAACAACGATTTCGTTCGCAGCAAAAGATGACGCCTTGAAATTTTCAACGAGGGCGCGGTTCATGCCTCAGGAACTACGGCTCATAGTTTACCTCTTGCCTGGGGTTGGAACGGCGGCACATAGGAGAAATGGAGCGGCGCCGGGGAGGCGGAGATCAACGTGAGGGAAAACTGGCATGGGGCGAATGATCGCCCGATGAGTCGGCAGAAACGGGGTATGCTGGCTGCTGTGGCATGTAGCTGAGGTTGAGGATGCCGTCGTTGGTATAAAGACTGTGCTGTCGACGACAGTGTCGTGCAACATGGCCAGGAATACCGCTGGCGTAGCAGATGGGCCTGTTGCCTGGAGAGTGCCAAGGCTTGTGAGGTGGTCCAGGAGGCGACAGGGGTTGTGCGGGAACAGGGTGTGGCGGCGAGTAGAAGTTGGCGACTGGGTGATGGATGGTGCTGGCGTCGGTCGAGCATAAGAATGAGTAACGACCTCAGCATAGGTGCGAAGTGCCGCAAGCTGCGATGGTGGTACAGGAGGGGGGAGGGCCTCAGCAACTGGAGCCTGAATGAGACGACGGAGCGAGTGATCCTGTGCCGTGGAACTCTCAGTGACAGATGTGACATAGAGAGCTGATGAGCCACTTCGTCACGAATATATTGTTTAATTTTGGCAGTAAAGTGGAATATTCAGCGCCAGTGCTCCTAGCTTCCTAAGATGATAGTTCCACTGTGGGAATTCCGAGGCGACGGGTAGAAAGGTGCTCTTTGCGTAGCTCATCAAAGCTTTGGCACAGTTCGATGACTTACGCTACTGTTTTAGGTCACTTGGCTACAAGCATATTAAATGCATCATCATCTATGCCTCTCCGTATGTGCCTCATTTTGTCAGACTCCACCATAGATGCATTCGCCCACTTACAGAGGTTGATGACGTCCTCAATATAACTCAAAAAGTCTCACCGTTCCTTTGGGCTCTGCCACGAAGGCAGTGTTCAGGGCGAAGCTTGCGCAAGGCAGGCCAACCTAAGCGATGATTTGCTTGAATGCCGACCAGGTGGTGAACTCGGCTTCATGGCTGTAGTTCCATAGCTGGGCCACATCAGTCAGGTAAAAGCTGATGCGCGTTGACTTAGCAGGGTCATCCTATTTGTGGGGACTGTAACACGCTCAAACTCTACTAGCCAGTCTTCGACGTCAAGTTTGTCGGTGCCACTGAACATCGGAGGGTCATGTTGACGAAGCATCCCAGCACACATGACCGTAGCTGGTGCTTGGGAAGAAGCGGCGTCCTCAGCCATTTCGGGGGCAGATGAGGATGGTACAGCCCAGTTGTGTAACTGCAAAACGAGGAGGGGACCGGCCCAGCAGCGCTCCATCAAATGTAACAAACGTGTTCTTCGGAAGTGTTTCGGCAAGAGTCGCGCGAAGGCAAGCATCAGCACATAAGGAAGGAACAAAGTGCGTGGAAACTGTGGCACACTCCCACGCTGGGGTATTCCCTAGGAACGGGGTAATTTGTGACTAAATACTGTTAATTTGTTAGCTCACGGTTTTTAAGCTATAAAAAAGGCAAAGATAAATGTGAAATATACTATTAGAAACAACGAATACAGAAAATGAAGCCGATGGTTTCATCAATAACAATAAGTGAATAAATGAATAAAGAAGTTTGAAAAAAAAAGGTAAAACAGGAGGCTGTGAGCACGACACACGAACGTCGTCTTTTCTCTCGCTGGCACAGAGCGGCGCCAAGCTGCACAGGTACAACCTATTTAATTATTTATCTATTTAAACACTCTCAATGCCATTTGGTGCATTACAGAGAGGAGTGGTGTTGCAGGTCAGAAATGCAGTCTTGAGTGATACATGGTCAAGGTCACTGGTGATGGAGGCAGGAACGTGGTTCCATTCAGATGAAGTCTTGGGCACGTAAGAGACATCTTGGTAAGGCGGAATCACACACAAACTTTGAATTTGTGGTCGATGCAATACGAAACGTAAGGAGGGGGTGAGAACAGTGCAGTGAGCACTTCCTCGAGAGCACCTTCTACTTTACACTAGCTAATATTCAGTTTCATTGACTAGAGTGAGCTTTAGGAGGTAATATTGTCGAGATCGGACTAAAGTTGGGATGAGTCATGGGATAAGTCATGCGGGTAAATTATGCGGTAAACGACACAGTCGTCGGCAAAAAGCCGACGACTATGTCGCATCACCTGCTGAATATAAAAGTAGAGGTTGCTACCAGAATTCACGTCAAGCTTCCAGATTGTCTTTTATTTATGTTTCTTTCCATAGTGTGCAGGGCTTTCAAATTGAATAATTGGTTCAGCTTGCCAATCAGTAAGACCTTTTCACTCTCAAATTTGGCCATATAATTATTCAATGTTAAGGTATTCTGGAGTAACGTCTGGAGGTCTGTACAACCCAATTACGAGACTATGTTTCTTGTACGTAGCCCTAATACATAAGCGTTCTATGTCAACAAGATCATCGCACAAAACAGCATTGATACAATGTTTTATCAATGTAGCCACCCCTCCTCCCCTAGTGCGTCTGTCATTACACAAAACTGTGTAGGATGGGGGGAAAACGTAGTCATTAGGCAAATGGTCGTATAGACAAGTCTCGGTAACAACCGTAATATGTGGATCATGTTGCAGCAGAAGCACTTTGAACGCTTCAATTTTATTCACAATGCTTCGGGTATGAATATTTAGTATTCTTATTTGTTTGGTACATAGTGCTGGAATAGGTCACGAGTGCGGCTAGGAAGATTGACGGTCTCCTGCTTTTACTCGCCTGTTTTGCAATTCATCCCAATAAAATGTTTCTTTACTATAAGGCTGTCGTGCACTAAGAATACTTTTTTTCCTTGTCGATTTTCGATCTTAGCACTGTCCCACAGCAATTTTCATTTCTTAATTGCCAACTGCGAATAATCATGCTGAATAGATACTGTGGATCCTTTCAGTTTTTTGGCAATTTCTAATATTACCTTCTATTCATTAAAATTTAGAACGTAAAGGATGATAGGTCTTTTACCAGTTCGTTTTCCTGGTCGGTGTATGCGCCCGATGGAATGACAGTTCACACCAAGCTTTTCTGTGAATAATTCCTTAACCACGTTTTCCCTCAGGGTTGCATCAGTTTCATTAGGGAACTCAGGTCCGTGTTTCATTAGGTTTCATTAGGGCACCATGAATAATGAAATTCGATCCTCTGGAACGGTCTTCGAGGTTGGTAAGCTTTTTGTTTTGAAAGTTTACTATGTGTTTCAGTGATTGTAACGTATTTCCCACCTTTTCACTGGGAAGGCTGCATTCTTGGGAATCCTTTTGTGCCGTAATGAAATCATGTACCATATTTTTCAATTCAGTAAACTGTTTCTTTAGTTCATGCACTTCATCGTGAATTTTTGCTTGGCCGTTTAGCATTTCTTCCTATAGTTCTTTCTAGGTGGGGCCAGGGTTTGTTTCCTCATCACCGCATAAAATCAACCGACAAGCAAGAAAACACATGCTATATTCCAATAACACCGAGGGCACGGCAAGACCAAGATACAGTGACAATCACAACGAAACAAACCCACGTTGAAACTAACCTGGATGAGGCAGAACATAGACGTAAGTGCCATAGTCGTGCTGGGTCCGCCGTGCCCACGCGGGTCGAAGGTTTGCAGTGATCCTTTTATAGCGATGTCCAGCGAAGAAGTGGCTCTGTGCTGTGCACCGGTAGCTACCCACAGGCGGCCTCCTGTGCTGTGCACAGTAAATTGCGGTGTCGTTCTTGCGGTGTCATTCAGTGATAATGGTTCCATGCGATGACGCATTGGCATCTGTTGGTCCGCATCGCTGATGCACGGTTTGCTGATTCGCAGACGGTCGGCTGTTGAGAATATGG